GCCATAGGACCGGATGAAACAGTTGCCCTCATAGACTCCACGAACAGATTTTTGCAAAAGAAATCGATGGAAAATTACATTCGGAGAAGGAGACCTCATCGTGGAAGAATCCGACGCAAAGTGAATCGATAGAGAAAACGTGTTCCCGAGATCGAGCAGAAAGTCCCGCCACATAGACGAAAACAAAATTAATAACACAGAAGAAAAAACAACTATGACAAACGTAGAATCTGTAAAAAAAACTCATTGGGCTAGAGCTGACAAAGCTATTTTTATTTGGAAGCTGCAACCCCAAGATCTAAAAACACTAACGTAACCAAGAGACTCAACTAACAAAACTCATTACTCCAACGTTAACTTTCATCTGAACGGAAAAACAGATACAGTTCTTTCAAACAGTGGAACTAGTATTTCTTTCAAATGTTTTGAGTCGTAGACCCGGCTTTGAAAGCCGTTGAGCTTGAATTTGTGTACCAGTTAAATACTACTAGCTTGTAATTGAGAGCTAAAAAATTATTGACACCATCATTGGTATCAAAATGCATGTGAAACTAAAATCAGGAAAAAAAGCGTGTGCTGTTTTTTTAGGTTTACATTTCATGATAGACCAGTGATGCTCATTTAACAATGGCGACCACCTACTGTACAGTAACAAACAAAGTATAGCGTTACCTACATCAGCGCAAACAGCAACTGGGTTACCAAGCTTTTGCAGATGCAGAAGCAAGACAAAAAACAAGTCCAAATTGTTTACATGGACAAAGACGGACCCATTTCTTATATCAGAGAAGGTTCCATCGGAGAAAATGAGTAATTCGAAGACATATCAGGTCTAATGGAAGCCTGTATCTTGGTAAGCAAAACCAAGTATAAAATTTTTCGGAAGATTTTTAATTTAGAGGATGAAACCGATAAATTTTACCGGAGCAACACAGTTGCTCACTTTTACGATTTGGTAAATCAAATTCCGCGGACTGGTTTTATCATCAGCAGTTAAAGAAAACATGGTTATATGGAACCTTTCAAATTGGACGCAAATTGGACAGTGCGGAAAGATCATTACAAGACAAGAAGCGAGTACACATTATGCTTGAGAGTCATGAACATTTTTTTTCTCACTTCTTCACCGAGCTAGGAGTCTCGGAATGTTATAACGCAAAACCAAACTAAAAACGCTGATTCAATTTTTTTTAGACTGGCTGACTGAAGCTTGAATTTGAGAAGCGGAAAGAAGAAGATTGTGCAAAAATTCAAAACTTTAATCTAATTGACCAATTCACTTAAACTGGGCACCGTCATCTGTATTGGCACAATTTGGTAATAAGCAATAAAAAGATTCAAGTATTTTTTATTTGGAGATGAATTCTCAAAAAGATAGTAAAAATTGTCTGGAAACTGAGTTTTGCGCTTTGGCTGCCCTGCGAATCTTTGCGGTGACATAGGATCACATTTTATGTCACACTTGTTCGAAATCTTAAAAGCGCCAACAAAAAACGATGATAAAGCCCTTATGTTTGAGAGAATCTAGTAACTTAAAACTGGCTTTTAGGTCATTAATTTATGCGGGGATCAAGGATAGTTATCTTAGAAAAAACCTATCGTTTCGTGCTCTTTGTCAATTTATTTTATCCACGAGATCTCAATAACTAAAATGACTGCTGCTCTAAATGACTACGCAGGAAATCTAAATACTCATTAAAAATTTGAAATGGTACTGGTTACAATGGATGTTGAACAGTAACAACAGAAGGCATATTACGAGATAAAAACAATATTTAACAAAAAATATCGTGGAAGACAGGGCTCTACCTTTCAAAGGGACAGACAAAACATATCAAGGTTATCGAACCCCTCATAGATTAAAATATTATCATTCAATTAAGTGTTGTGTTCGAAGACAAAAAAAAACAAAAAAAGCTGAAAAATAACTATGTTGGACAAAAATAGTTCCACTAGCGACCAAGAAGTAACGCTCAGTGGTATAAGCAAAGCATTCTTATAAAATCGCTGACAGAGGATCAAGGCAAAAAGCAACCCTTTTTAATGTTGTGGAGTTCCCAATTGCGAAATCGATGGTAGAACAACCAATACTATCCCCGCTCCGGAGATAGAAGTAACAACATCGAATAGGGCTCATCCCCGCAAAAATTTCCTATTCAATCGAAAGGTATGGGCATAAAAAAGAATACATCTGAAACAAAAGTACCACAGCCTCCAAAGCGGCATAAAAACCAATAAAAAAGCCAAACCCTTTATTAAAAACACTTCGGGAAACGTTGGCGAAAATAACAAGCGGTTCAATACCAGAATATAGCAAGGTGACGTTCAGCGCCTAAAATTTTTCTGTGATTGTATGTCTTACAGAGATTGAGACAAGACAATGCTAAAAACTAAAACGATGTTGTGTTATAATGTTTATTATAATGCGAAACACAAAAGGATAAAAATAAGGTTTTCTTTATATAATTCATTTAGAAAGAAAATTATTTCCTTACTTATTAACACCAAAGCTGATTTAATTATAACTTGAGTCAATTGGCAGGCAATTTTCCTCACAACTTCGAAGTTCTGTTGATTTCCAAAAAAGAATACAACAGTACCATCTGTTTTTACATTATAAACAAGACTGCTCGTATCAGGGTGAAGCCCTGAATGTTCCAACTGCCTTTTAAGGTCTATGGAGCATAGTAATAACATAGAAAAACTTAAGTTCTTTTTTTTCAAAACTTTGGGATTTTTTTTTTGAAAATCATCACCCCACACACCATATTAAGTATAACAGGATAAATTTTGCTCCTTGAAACAAATCAATTAAGGCAAATAAGCTTCTTTCAACCAATATGGAACTATGTCTCAGACGGATTAAATCTCCGCTTACGCGTTAAAAGCGTGAAATATATCGCGCGTTAATTGTCCCATTTGGCCAAAATGGCAATTTTTTTTTAACCCCAATAACTTTACGAAAAATGATCACAAGTAAAATATCTTTTCAAATTTAACCCCAGGACAACAATACCTTTCGAATGATTTAAAGAAATTCCGTCAAAAATGGCTAGTTTAGAAGTCAATATTTGTCTGAAGAAAAAACACCCACCCCGAGCAGAAATATTCCGTTACTTTTGTTACGAAAGTCGGAACGATAACATCTGGATTTTATTCGCTATCTAGCTCAGCTAAATTCTTAAAGTACAATTAAAATTGTTTGAATTATGAAATTTTGTTTGGCTACTACGTAATTTCAAAAAAATTTGTGTGTTGATTTCAATTTTTAAAGAACGGGTATCCTCAGAGGTAATTTTCAGAAATTTTATCCCAACCAAAATTTTTTTTATTATTTAAAGTGTTTCTCAGTCCACCATGAAATTGCGTGCAATAATTATCCCAAATTGGTCAGTTTCACAATTTTCAAACCTGAAAGTGCATGAAAAGACTAGCATGAGGAATATCTCATTTGAGCATTATTTTAAGCTTGTATTTACTATTTTTTTCAAATGTTGGTCAAAATGCGAGCTTGTTGCAAGTCGCTTGAAAAGTAGATGGATAAATTTCGAACTATAGAGAATTTTTGTTCATTTTTATTGTTCCGACTTTCGTTACGAAAGTGACGGAATATTTGTGCTCGGGGTGGGTTTTTTTTCTTCAGACAAATTTCGACTTTTCAACTAGCCATTTTTGACGGAATTTTTTAAAATCATTCGCGCTATTAACGCGTAAGCGGAGAGTTAATCCGCCTTAGAAATCGTTCCAAATTGGTTAAAAGAAGCTTATGTGCCATAATTGGTTTGTTACAAGGAGCGAAACCTATCCTTTTGTACTTTGTATGGCGTGTGGGGTGATGATTTTCATAAAAAATTTCAAATTTTAGAATTTTTTTTGAATTTGTTTTATTTCATTGAATTTTTTAATGTTCTTAATGCTCCATAATCCTTAAAAGGCAGTCGGAACATTCACGGTTTCGCCCTGATACGAGCAGTCTTGTTCACATTTAAGCTCTATTGCTATCAAAAAAACTTTCATTAAATCAAACGAAATACCTACAAGACTACTGGTATACTAGGGCAAAACTCTGTACTTTGAGGCTATTTTTTTTTTGTAAAAAATATATAAAAAGTGGTTTTTTCTTCATTTTTTTAAAAAATTTTATCCCCCCATCTATTATAGTTCATAGATATGTATTAAGCGTCTCCTGTCCTAATAATGAATCCGAATGCCTTGCATCAGTTCAATTTTGACCGATATACTATGCCGCTTACGTGCGTTATAATAACGCAAAAAATCGAGCGTTATTTGTACTAAATCGTCTGATTAGTAATTTTTACCAAAAACTTTCTCAGGAAAAAAGACCATAATTTTGAGCCCCGGATAAGAAAACTTTTCAGATGGTATAAAACATTGCCGTTCAGTTAGTATAAAACCAAAAAGTTTAATTAAAATTTTGCCTTATAAAAAGCCACCCTAAGCAAAGTTAAAACCCCATTTGGATAAAATAGAAGTTGGGAACATAAAGTTTAGAATTAGAACAAAGCCAATCTCCAATATCGCTCTTTGTTTTCAAGCTATTCATATCAAATTTCCGAGTTCATCAAAAACGCAAAGAAAAGTTCGGGGGGGGGGGGGAGTAATGCACGCCAATTTGGACTGAACAAAAGACACCACCACCAATCATAAAAACTCCGCTACTCTTTGAAAGTCAGAAAGAGAAACCACGGAGCCATTTGTTGTTCTAAGCCACAATTTTTCAAGGCGATAACTTTTAATGTCTCATCCTCAATTAGTGTTCAATATAAATAAATAAATAAATAAATAAATAAATAAATATAACCACCTTCGCCACTGCTCACGCTTAAAAAATGCACTTGGTCCCCATTTTTTAATCAAGTTTCAGCCTGTTCTGTCGCTACGAATAAAGCAGTATTGAGCATCCTGTTTGCGTATTTTTTTATACGCAGCCGGCAGGGAATTTTAAACATATATATTCGTTTTCCATTCCTTATTTGTTTAAAAATTGGCAAAACTATACATGCAGCTTACAATTTTGCACCGCTATACAACGCTTTTTAAAAACTGAGTCAGCTCGGAATCATTTCTATCACTAAAACACGTTTGGTAAATTCCATTGAAAAAACGTTGTAGGAGAAAATAATATATGAAATATATTAGCTTTTCTGAAAGCAAACATAAACTTAAAGACTAATGTAATGTTAACCAGCGTCATTTCATATCAAATTATCTAGACAATTTTCAAATTTCTTGACTTCACTGCTTTTCTTATTTTTTAAGACAACAAAGAGAACAGACTCCTCCGATATTAAATAAAGATGGCTCAAAAGAGAAACGAAGAAATAGCTTACTTCTCGCTCTCCTGTATTGTCCAGGTGAAATCTTCATATATTTTCCAGTAGCCTAGTCGGTAGCAGCACACTATCTTTTTAAAATTTCTCCTGAAACTTTAACGATGACGACTCAGGGTTTTAAAGCTAGCATCACACAAAGGGTCGCCTTTATATAATTTTACACTAGTCGACACTCATTTTTGGCCGACCAAACAAAAAATTTGCAAACGATCCAAATTTTTCAGCCACCCGAGCAATTTTTTTTAAAATCGTCAAAATTAAATTTTTGAGCTCCGCGCAAAACACGATAAAGTATATAATAATTTGAAAGAACTGAAGAAACCGATATTGGCTGAAATTTAAAAACGCCAAAAAAAATTGGAATTTTTTTTGAAAATCCGCCTCCTTCCGACAAAACTTGAAAAAATTCCGAGAAAAGTTTTCTAACCATTCGGCAAAAATAAAAAATTTCAAAGGTTATTGAAAAATCAGCCCTGTTTGACACAATTGGAAATCGGTCACAATCAGACGCTGGTACTTTTATAGGTATTGATCATAATGTGCATGTGTATGGCGAATACTGCCTACTGGAGATTAGACCAGCAGTTGGGGGAGGGGGTGACAGAACACAGGGTGGGCATCTGGCAGAACTGCATCAAGACCGACGGGGAGACCAACTGTGAGAGATACAACCCAGTCAACAGAGCCAGACCAGAGGAGAAGGCACACCTCAATGTAAGATGTCTTTTGAAAACCCGCCTCATGGCAGAAGACCATATCGTATAAAAATGAATCATATCGAAAAAAAACTTGTTAAAACTCATTTTTGTCTGACTATAAACGTTTTTTATAGGCGCATTTAACCCCCATTTATAGTAACTTTATGGACCAGTTTGCACGAAAAAAGGATATACAGGTCAAAATTATCCAAAGAGTTTTTTTGATTTTGCATGCAAAACATGAAACGCATTCGCGAGAAGCCTTTAAAAGTTGTATTGAAAGTTTGGCTGAAGAAAAGTTAGAACGTGCAACTGGCGTTGGAAATGTAAATCCATAATCAAATCCATTAACTCTTTTTTTTATCTAAGTAAAGAACGTTCAGTTTTTACAAGAAAAACTTACTTAGCTTTCAGTTTTTACCTCTAATTATCAGCTATAAATTTATTGAAGGCCAGAAATTGTTACATCAAACGATCTCTTTGTGTAGTTGCTTGCATTTTTGGTAAACTCAGCAGCTGTTTACAGTCAGAACGAGCAATTGGTCTAGTTTGAAAGTCTAACAAGACCGGGGGTTAAGAAATTAGACGATAAGCAAATTAGACGTGACCAACAAAGATGAATTTAGACGTTACATTGTTTTTGCAAAACTAGCATTTTAGACGGAAAGCAAAGGGCTAACAAAACGTATTGCTTAAAAGAACTTTTCATAATTACAAAAATAATATATGATCACATTACATTGCATATCAAAATATTTATCTCAATTGATTTATAAAATGTTAATTTGAAGATTATGTAACATTTTTGAAATGCATAAATTATACAATTGAGGCATAAGAAAAATGCGGAATGGGAAAATTGCGGCATGTGAAAAATTGATTTGCATATAAGAAAACTGAACGAAAGTTAATTGTAGTCGGTAAACAAATTTCAGACACGAACAATACAATTACGTCTAATTTCCCATTTTTGCAATTTTGCATCGACGTCTAAGTTCGTTTTTGTTGGTCACGTCTTAATTGCTTTTCGTCTAATTTCCAAGGCCCCAACAAAACTGCTCATATCAGGGCGAAGCCTTGAATGTTCCGATTGCCTTTTAAAGTCTATGAAGCAGTAATACCATGAAAAAACTAAATGTAAAAATAAAATAAAATGAAAAAAATTTTGTAAAAAAAATTTGAGATATTTTGAAATTTGAAATTTGAATTACTTTACCAGCTACATATACAACGCCAAAAGCAATATATTATGCCTGGAGGGAGATCCTAAAGAGCAGAACTGCTCATCGAGTAGGAAATCCTGGAGAGTAAATAGAAGACAGCCAGCATCAACTCAACAAACAAACAAATCAATTTAAAAATCATCCCCCCACACGCCATTTTAAGTACAAAGTGATAAATTTCGCTTCTAGAGGAGATTAAGCGGAGATTTAATCCATGTTAGAAATCGTTCCAAATTGGTTGAAAGAAGCTTATTTGCCATAATTGATTTGTTACAAGGAGCGAAATCTATCCTTTTGTACTTTACATGGCGTGTGGGGTATCATTTTCACAAACAATCTCAAATTTTAGAAAAAAAAATAATTTTATTTTATTCCATTTATTTCATTTATGTTCTTACTGCTCTATAAACCTTAAAAGGCAGTCTGAACATTCCTAAAACCATTGTAGCGAAGTACGTTCTACACGGGTGCCTCGAACAAAGAGAATGTCCCAAAATGGTACCAAAAAAGGGAACTATTTTGGCGGCCGTGCGGTTGAACTGCTGAGGGCAACATCTGTAGGGTAGCGTCCCGATGGGGTGCATTCTAAAAGATTTTTGAATACTTTGTCGACGTCTTTTTGGATCCACCAAACTGATTTCCCGAGCTCTCCCAAAACACTATCAAAAATTTTTCTTGGCAGCAAAGCAGGCTACTCTTGAAAAATGCAAACGAACAATTGAGGTTTTTACGCACTTTTTATGGAAGGTTTTGAATTAAAAAATTGCCTTTTATGGTGCGGGCGGGATATTTAGCCAAAAAAGAACCTAGAATGTACCAAAGGGAAAAGCTTTTGATCGATTAGAGAATCGAACCCCCCTCCCCCAAAACCAGATACCGATTAACTTGTTTTGTTTGTTTGTTTAGGCTGCCCGTTCCTTTGTCATCCTGGCCATCCTCACCTCCTCCCTCGTCCTCCTCTTCTTCCTCTTGGAACTCTGCAACCTCACAGGCTCATGCGGAAAGTTTTGTTCCAGGTATATATTAGCTAGTTTAGTTTTCTATAAAAACTACTCGCGAAACTAAGTAAAAATTAGTTAGTTTACTTTTACATAAACATTTTTTTGAAAAAGACAGAAAAATGAACAAAAACTTGTATTAAATCTGAAAACGGAACTGGGTAATCTGAGCTAAAACATAGTAGAAACTTGTGTAACATAATCTGCTCCTATCTCTATCAGATCCTGAGTCAGAATCAGATTGTAGTGAACCGGGCCTGAAAAGAAAACAATATTTTACACACCAAAATTAACCACTATGAGATATTTTTGAACCTTCTATTTATAGTTCCAATGAAGGTTGAAAGCTTTTTGATATATTCTGGAGATTTTTCTTCTGAAATTTTTTCTTTCCTTTTCTTTTGCTATTCTTTTGATATTCTTCTAGGATTTTTCTACATTATATCACATTCGCGCGGAAAACCCATCATATGCCGTAGTCATGTGGTGGCGTATGGTCTTAGCATTAGGTTGGGTGACAATTCGTAACAAGGCATTGGCAAGTAGAATACGCTTGCTCCACTTCGCTCCGCCGCGCTTACATCCGGCACCAGAGGAATACTGCGCTTGAATCAGTGTTCCCCGCTCAATTTAATATTACGAAGTTTCACCTTACGGTAATCTAATTAAAAAGGCACAAGACCGTAACCTAGTTAAGATATCTAGATTTCAGCATGGTTGTAGCATAATGAAAAAACAACACTTTTCCTATCCGAAACATTGGTTGCAGGTATGGCTTTGTGTGTGTGTTGCTGATCCAACTGGCAGTGGTGACAACAGCGTGTTCCTTGTGCCAGAGCTACTTCAACAAAAACTACAGCAGCTTCAGATTGCACCTGGCCGGGTGGCTGGCCTGGGTCGGGTTCATCCTCTGCTGTCTCACCCAGTTCGCATCCTTCCTCTACCTCCGATACCAGGACTACTGGTGACTCACCACCAGTGCACCCAAAGCAGGACGAGCAATAGTCAAGCAATAACAACAGTAACAATCAGTCCCTATATATCTATATATATCTTACAGTTTTCTGAAATAAAAAAGTATTTTTCGTGTAACATCTTTGGGGTCGAATTTTGGAAAAGGTTTTAAAATTATGTTAACATAGCGAACTATGGTCAATCCAGAAGTTTGTTTCATACTATCTTTTGTGGTTGCAATTTATCGTTATCCCCTAAAAATACTCATAGGTGATGTTGGGAACATGCGTAGGCCTTCTCTTGGCAGTCCAGTATATGATCAGTAAATGTGCTGGTCTAGCTAAATGTACATTGAAACACTTACACATAACCTTAAATCTTGGGTTAATTTGTTTTTTTGCATCTGCTTATTACCTCATACCTAAGAAATTCTTTAATTCTGCCAAGAAAAATTTAATTTCCGATCTCGAATTCTGGTCAGGAATTCCTTGCGAGATGCTCAAATAAAGTATAGATTTTCTAGAAATTCTTTAGTTCTAATCCAATTAATGGTCAAAAACTTCCTAAGCCTAAGCTATTTCTAATCAGAAAAAACTTATTTCTTATCTAATTTCAGTTTAGGTCCAGGTTGAACTCTTTTTTCCTAGTGGGCTTCGAAATAGTTGCGAAATAATAAGCTCACACGGTGACGACTTAAGCTCAACCAGTCTATTTTGAAATCTAAAATCACATTGTGCTACATCTGGTCCACATAATATGTGCTAATCAACAAATCTAGTTAAATGGTTATATGTTTATCTTTGCTTTACTGTTATAGATAACGCAAGCGCTTATTGTTCCGACTTTCGATACGAAAGTAACAGAATATTTGTGCTCGGGGTGCCCGCATCCAGTTTCAAGCGTTAATAATCGATTATATTACGATTTTAGTACCAGTCTCACTAAAATTGAGAAACAATCGATTTTAATCAATTAATAATCGATTATAATCTCTTTTTTTTTTCAAATCAAAATATAATTAATTACAATCCATTATAATTGATTATTTATTCGTCTATTTTTCGATACAATTATAATCGATTATAATTGATTATAATCCATTATTTTTATTCAAAATTCTATTTCGATAGTTTTGCACAAAAATCCATTATAATCGATTAAAATTGATTATAATCCCTTTTGTTTGTCCATTTTTGTCTTCGAAGTTGCATCTAAATTGCTTATATTTTATGCTTTTTGTGGATGTTGGTTCCTATGAAAAATGAGAGAAAATTTTTCAAAATTTTCCAATTAATTCATATTTAAAAGTTTTTTTTCCATTTCTTCCCCATTAGAGTTGTTTGTGATGCATATTTTAAGCTTTTATAAACACCAAAACATCAACAAATTGATTTAGTTTCATGATTGATTCGGAAAAATTATCTTTCATCTACCGCGAGAACCTTTCCAGTCATATGAAAGGATCTCCGTGAAACTTTTGTTTCGTGGTAAAACTTTGTGTTCAGACGAACCAAAGTGTTCAAAAGATCTCTCTTTTAGAGATTTTTTTATTGACACAAAAATAATAATCCATAAGATACAATTCGAGAATAGGAAGATTCCGGCAAAATAAGAGATTACAATCGATTATAATCGGTTATAATTGATTTTAAGGGTTTTTAGTAAGAACTATAATCAATTATAATCGATTATAAGAGATTATAATCTCTTGGAAAATATCACGATTATAATCAATTATAATTCCCTTAAGGACCTAATTTTGGTAATTATAATCGATTATAATTGTCAAAAAATCATCATAATAATCCGTTATAATCGATTATTTAAGCCTAAAATTGGATGCGGGTGGGTTTTTTTCTTCAGACAAAATTCGACTTTTTAACTAGCCATTTTTGACAAAAATTTTTTATATCACTCAAAAGGTATTTTTGTCCTGAGCTTAAATTTGAAAAGATATTTCACCTGTGATCATTTTTCGTAAAGTTATGAGGGTTTAAAGATTGCCATTTTGACCAATTTGGGACAATTAACGCGCGATATAATTCGAGCTATTAACGCGTAAGCGGAGATTTAATCCGTCTTATAAATTGTTCCAAATTGGTTGAACGAAGCTTATTTGCCATAATTGATTTGTTACAAGGAACGAAATTTCTCTTTTTGTACTTTATATGGCGTGTGGGGGGATGATTTTCATTAAAAAATTCAAATAAAAAAAATTTCATTTCATTTCATTTTTTAATGTTTTTACTGCTGCTCCATAAACCTTAAAAGGCAGTCGGAACATTCAGGGCTTCGCCCTGATACGAGCAGTCTTGTTGACTTTTGCGTGAAAAAAATACAATTTTCTCTCGAGCATGACTAAAACGTTTTTATGAGAGATAATTTAAGTAGAGGCCAATAAAGTAATTCGTTGTCGATGAAACTTTTTGAATTGTAATAAACTTTTGTGTGAACCATACTAACTTGTAGCGTTTCATAATGTTTACGGTATCCATCTGTCGAAAGTAATATGCGTACATTTATACGATGACTTAGAAATAGAATCGACCTCACTTTAGCAGAAAGGTTCGTAATAAAACACTAAGCTGCAGCTAGTGTAAACAAGAGAAAATCAATGGGTATAAAAAAGTAGCTGAAACCAGCCAAGTGGTTCGCCAAAATAACGGGTCTTTAATTCCTCCTCTTTAGTTTACAACAATCGTAATGATTCGAGTAGATATGATTAAAAACAAACTCGATACGGGTTACGTTTTTTCAATAAGAACACGCAAATCGACACGAGTACAATTGTTGAACGAACTTAAATTAAAGATCAAACACAAAAGTTTAAGAATATTTTACTAAGCGATCATTGCTGGTTGAATGCTTAGTAATTTTATCCTAAATTATAAGTCTCACCTTAGATCGTCAAATTGTCTTGACAAAAAGTAGAGTAGAAACAATAGTTAGAAAAGGTATGAATTAATTAGTTGGTTAGATACAAAGCACTGGGTTATTAGATTATATAAATGAATCGAACAGCTTAAAGAAATATACCTATGAGGGGAGGTTGAGCTAATCTTATTTTGTTCATCAAAATTTTATCGTCTTACTAAGGTCGGTGGCTGATTAGTATGTATGGTTGCCCTTGATTTTGTCCAAGTCAGCACTTCTGGTTGGGTCATCTGAATCGTCTTGCCGTAGTCCTTTGGGTACTTGTAGTCCAGACTTCCTCGGGTGTGCGTATCTCGAGTATCTCGATTTATAATTTTTCAAACTTAAAATGAGAATTTATTCTCTTTTTATAAGTGAAAAGTGCTAGATTAATTTTAGTGTTAGGGCAGAAAAGAAAAATTATTTATTTTTAAAAGATCTGACTGAAGAGAACTGACTTGCTGCTTACTGAGCAAAATGAAACACTGAAGATTTCAGGCCAGTCCTTTTGCTCGTAAGCATAAACCGGCGGCTGATTCAATCTTTAATTATTAAGGTTTCACCTGCTCCTTTGTTCTCCCTTTCTTATAAGGGAATTTTCAACTATTTTTTATTTGATTTTTTTCAAATCAATTATCTTCAACTTATTAGTCTTCATTGAAGAAAACCGCAGCCTTCAGTTTGTCTGATTAAAAATTCATATTACTTTCTCTGATGCATCATATTGCAGGTGCATCTATGCTAAATCAAAGCAAGGAGAATTGTAGTGCAGCCGGCAAGACTGCTAAATATTTATCCAGTTTGTTTCAAGTTAAGTTAAAAGGGACGTATTAATAATCGCCGCCCTTTTTAAATATTGAGCATGAAAAAATGAGAAAAATTGGACAAGTATTTAAAAAGGAGTGGATTTTCAAAACAAGATTTTATAGTCCAAATAAGAGTAAATCAGTCAATATCTGATTTAGTGAAAAGAGGCTTTAATTTAAATGGCACGCTCCAATTTAGAATTGGGTCGTTAAATAAACAATTAAGCCAATGGTCTTTTGTGTGTGTGTAGTATTTCGCAATACTACAACTCACCCCTTTTTTTAGAAAATTAAGCTGTTCGATTCTTACAGTTACCATGGTGAAAATTTAAACACTTTAATGGTTAAATACTATAGTTATAAAATTTAAAGAGAACATCAAACGAAAAAGTTATAAAGATAAGTTAGGTTTTATCTAGAGCTTCCTTCCGGCTTCTAGCTCCACGTTGTATGATCTGAGGATCGCTATCTTCCTTTGTGAAGCCTCGAGTTTTTGTTGCAACTTCACGATTTTCTTCTTTTTGATCTTGTTCTTGATTCGTAGTCTGCTCATTCCGTCCGTAAGTTGTTGAATGTCGTCCTGTTCTTCCTGTCTGTTTTTTACATGGTTCGGAAAAGCAGTTATTTCCTCGAACGGGATGGTGACTTGCGTGCCTCCTGCCTTGAGGATGTAGCCGTGTTCCTCCCTCTTCTTTAATTTCCAGAAGTTGTTTTCGTTCTTTATAACCACTTCTGGCTGGGTTATGAAGTCGATAGGCATCATCGCCTTATCCATTGTCGTTGAGTTGACAGTTGACGACTTCAATGAACGATGGCAGTTTCCATCTGTTATAATTTTCGTTTATTGAGTACTTTAAACTCGTTATATATTTTGGATTTTCCGTATCCAATTTGGTTTCTCTGCACTTCTGCAGCTCCAATCTTTGGGTTAAACTGGGAAAGTTGCGAGGGTTCTTATTTAACCCATCGTCCATTGACAAAGATTGAACTGCTACCGGTTTCCGTTGTTTCTTTCTGAGAGGCAACTTTCTTTTAAATTCCTCTGGTGCAGGGTCTGCATTTCTGCAGTTCCAGTTTAAAATCGGGTCGTATTTCATTTTGCTAAACATCAATATAAAATGACCAAATATTCAAAATCCCGAATTACATTCGGATATTAAGGCTAATTATCAAATGTTTGAACAATGAAGGACAAAGTGTAAAATTGTATATATATAAAAGGTGGAAAATATAATCTTGTGGTTTCACACAAACCCACCACGGAAAACAAATGAAGAAAAACGATCATGGTGTTTATTAACCACAGGAATAAAGCACTTCACAACACTGAGTTAAGCTCAGATATTAAACTTATGTAGTTAAAGCAAAAAATGGAAATTTGGGCATTAATTAACCCCTAATCTTAAATGTATGTCCACCTGGGGTCATCCACAGGCTTACCATGGGGTCCCCTTTTATAGGTAAAAGGGACTAGAAAAAACCGGGGGGAGGGGGGGGGGGGGTAAGTAGTATATAATATAGCATATTTAAAGGGTATTTTGTGTTTACTGTTGTTTATAAAGATATATAAATTGTGAGCTAATTACTGAAGGGTTGAGGTCTTACCAAATGTATAAGTGGAGAGGAATTGTATAATGATATCGGATAGTAAGGAGAATTAATTCCAGGGGTCGGAAAAATCACAAGGGATGTGGCATAAGGGACAAAATTGTGCAGTATTAGGGAGGCATCTTGTACAAATAGTGATACCTTGATGGCAATCAGTAAGATGTTGATAGCTTGCCATACTTTGGGTCTGGGTACTTCCCCAATTTGCGCTTTTAACCATACTATCGCATGAACAACAATAAACACAAAATACCCTTTAAATATGCTATATTATATACTATTTACCCCCCCGGTTTTTTCTAGTCCCTTTTACCTATAAAAGGGGACCCCATGGTAAGCCTGTGGACGTTAAATAACGACCCATTTAAATAACGACCCATTTAGAATTGGGTCGTTAAATAAACAATTAAGACAATGGTCTTTTGTGTGTGTGTAGTATTTCGCAATACTACAATATACTTAAGCCATTTCAATTTCAAGTACCCTTTTTTTCTCCTTTTCAACTTCAAGTGCTCTGTTTTTCTCCATTTCAACTTCAAGTGCACTGCTTCTTCTTTTCAACTTCAAGGGCTCTGCATTTTTT